ACACCTGGGTGAGGGACACAACCTGGGACAGGTGAGGGGACGCACCTGGGTGAGGGACACACCTGGGGACAGGTGAGGGGACACCTGGGGACACACCTGGGACAGGTGAGGGACACCTGGGTGAGTGACACACCTGGGACAGGTGTGTCCCAGGTGTATCCCAGGTGATCACAGGTGTGTTAAGGTGATCACAGGTATGCCCAGGTGTATCCAGGTGTATCCCAGGTGATCACAGGTGTATCCAGGTGTATCTCAGGTGTGTCCCAGGTGATCACCGGTGTGTTAAGGTGATCACAGGTGTATCTCAGGTGTGTCCCAGGTGTATCCCAGGTGATCACAGGTGTGTCCCAGGTGTATCCCAGGTGATCACAGGTGTGCCCAGGTGTATCCCAGGTGATCACAGGTGTACCCAGGTGTATCCAGGTGTATCCCAGGTGATCACAGGTGTGCCCAGGTGTATCCCAGGTGATCACAGGTGTGTTTCCCGTGCAGCCCCCAAAGGTGAGGCGGAGCTGCGGGAGCTGCTGGCCCGGAAGGAGCAGAAGCTGCAGGTGAGGGCGGAGCGGCGCCGCCAGCAGGAGCAGAACCTGGAGCGCAAACGGCAGCAGCGGCTGCAGCACAGGTGAGGCTCAGGTGAGGGCTCAGGTGTGTCAGGAACCCATGGGAGGGACACAGGTGAAGGTTCAGGTGTTCCAGGAGCTCAGGTGAGGGTCACAGGGGGGCTCCCAGGTGAGAAAGGTCACACAGGTGACAGGTGAAGCAGCCTGGCCAGGTCCATCCCCAGGTGTTCTCTCACCTGTCCCCTCTCACCTGTCTGTTCCCCACAGGGAGCGCAGCCTGGCAGGGATGGGCCGGGCCACAGGTGGCCCAGGTGACACCAGAGGTGGCCCAGGTGACCCCACAGGTGACAGCGACGTCGAGGACCCCGGCGCACCTGAGCCAGGTGAGGCGGAGCCGTCGGACGAGGACGACGCCGAATATTACAGAGAGGAGCTGGGGGAGGAGCCTGACACAGGTGAGAGGGACGGGGGAGGGGACAGGTGAGCTGGGGGGGGGAGGGGGGAAAGAAATTTCGAGGTGTCCAGGTGAGTTTAGGGTCCAGGTGAGTTTGGGATTCAGGTGAGTTGTGGAAGGGACAAGGAAATGTTGGGGTTTCCTGGTCCTGGGTGACACACCTGGGACAGGTGAGGGATCCAGGTGAAGTTTGAGCAGGGGAGAAAAGGAAATGTTGGGATTTCCAGGTGAAGTTTGGGATCCAGGTGAGCTTGGGGGGATCCAGGTAGAAAATTTGGGGATTTTCAGGTGAGTTTTGGAGTTCCCAGGTGAGGCTGGGGGGGTCCAGGTGAGTTTAGGGGGGAGAGAAGAAAATTTTGGGATTTCCAGGTGAGTTTTGGCGTGGTCCAGGTGA